CATGGATATTTGTCTAAGTCTGTGTTACCTTGTATAATAAAATAATTTCCAGAGCCATCTTCTTTCCTGACATTTTCCTTTCCAGTTTTTATGGATGAGTAATGTTTCATTGATTGCATGTACTGTGATTTTGTTATCCATTTATGCACTGATGGGCATCTAGGCTCAATCCCTACCCTTGCTCCTGTGAATAAAGCAGAAATAAACAAAGCTAAGCAAGAGTCTTAGTGATAAAGTATAGGATCATTTGGGGACTCACCCTCCAAATTTAGAGCTGAACAGGAATAGTTCTATCTTTAAGTTTAATCACATTGATTTCCATTGCAGCATTACCAGTTGACGCCCCCACCAGCAATCAAGAGTGGGTCTTCTTTCCTCACATACTTTCCAGGACTCGTAATTTGTTTTCTGGATGACAGCCATTTTTACTGAGGTGAGATGGTGTAGACCCTTCAGCTGAAGTTACACTTCTATGAGACCTCATACCAGTGGAAGTTGGATGACCCAGCTCTTTGCTTGGAGTGCCCATGCTTCTCTTTTGGTGCTATGTCTACACGCCTGCTCTGCTGCATTCACATTTCCAGGCAAAATGAATTTGGCCTCTGACTTGTGTTTTCTGCAACTTAGGGTTCTCTCTCCAACTCTCTGGGCACTTGTACATGGTGTCCTGACATGTAATTCACGGCAAAACTCAGCGCAGGGCAACTGCAGCATTTTATTTCTTGAGCTCATTTCGTGGAAGGTCACATGTTTGCAGGGCAACTGCAGCATTTTATTTCTTGAGCTCATTTCGTGGAAGGTCACTTGTTTGCATTTTTGCTGCATACATTTTTTTTTTACGTCCAATGTTTCTAGTTGGCTTCTCCTCCCTATTTATTTCTTTTGGCTTTTTTTCCTGCTTCATTCTCTATTGTTCTGCGGGGTTGATATTGGATGGACATTAGATTTCTGTCCATGTCTCAAAATTGGAGCTCGGAGTGTCCTGTTAAACCAGGGAGATTTTTCTCTTTCTGTACTTGACAGTTTCATTGTTCTGGGTCTTTAGCTTCCCAGTGTAAAGAATAAGATTCTTGCCTTGTGTTGATATTATTGATTTGAGAATTTTTGATTCTTCCAGATATGCATATTTTATTAACAATTTAAATTCTAGCTATAGATTATTTTTTCCCAAAATACTATCTGCTTACTCTTCTCATCTCCACCACAATTCTTTATGGAAGCATAACATTTCAATGAAAGTTATTTTGATTTTAATAAGTCTCATGAAGTATGGCCTTTAACTAAAGTATTCACACCCAAAAGATATACATGGAAATGTTCTATATAAATTTTTTCTCCCCCGCCTTCCTTTAAGAGCTGATGGCATTCCAGCTTATCTCCTTCTTTCTTGAACATTCTGGCTCTTTACTGTAAGGTCCTCCAAGGGAGGCCTTTAAGACTAAGATTTAATTGTGAAATTTCCTTCTGAAAATGAGGAGAATATTAGCTACAAAATGTGATGCTGACATGCACAAGGCAATGAGATAAATTAGAGGTAAATAAGGAGAGCTCCTTACCACAGAGAGAAACCATAGCACAATCTTGAGGGAAACATACAGCACACAATGTCGAAAACAGTAATTTTAACTTTTCACTCCAGAGAAATAAGACTTTATATATCTATTCTAAGTAAGTGCTGAAAACTTGCTAGGGTTTTTACGTGTCCCTTATCCCACTGAACCATTTCTGGCTGTCATTTGTCTGACAATTCTGCACTCTTACTGGTCTAGAAAAGATTCAGAGAGGGCTGGTGGGAATTGTTGGGCATAACAATGTAGATACTGGGGGCATTGAATTACAGGACCAAAAAGACTTCTTTTTTTTCAGACATCTGCAGTGCCAACCATGGAAAATCTCTGTCTCAATGACTTTGAGTGTTTCGATGATTTCTTCTAAGAAGAAAAAAACAGGGTTTATATTTCTGGTTGATTTTTTTTTTAATCTAGTCTAGTGCCTTTTAGGATTAAAAAAATCTTTCATTTATTTTTGAGATTATATCATTACATCATTCTCCCATTCCCTTCATCTGTCTAAACCCTCCCATAAACACTTGCTTTTTTTTTCAAATTGATAGCATCTTTTTTCATTGTGGTTATATGCATATATGTGTGTCAAAGGGTGTGTTCTTTTCTGGAGAAGACTATTCCCCACACTCAGCATTCCTTAGTTGTCCATAGTTCTTTGTGTAGGCTAAAAACAACTCCTGCAACTAAGGATCAGTGAACGTTGATGAAAAGGGGGTAGAGAGATTGTAAGAGTCAGAGGATCAGGGAGTTCCTGTGAGATTGTATCTCCTAGGAATGTCAAAATCTACAGCCATAAGATCTTAACATGATTGCCTAAACATGAGTGGAACAGGATAACAAAAATAGACAAGCTAAAGTGGGTGGGAAAAAGTCCACGAGGCCTTCCATATTTATATATGTTGTTTAAAAACGACAGTTTCCTTTTTTTTAAGAAGAAGGATATTTCAATGTGATGTTAACATTGAAACTGTACCATTTGGATACCCTAACATGCTTCGTGATACAAAACTAATTCATAGGTTGCTAGATTATCTTGTGTTAGTAGAATTTCTGGCACTGGAAGAGACAGATAGACATCATAGATATCTCTCTAGATACATACACACAGATCGGATTTAAGGTGTGGGCTGGTGCATTACATTTTGTAAAACTTAAATCTAATACAATCATAGAAGTGCTAAGTAGATCCTGAATTTTGGAAGCAGTATTATTGTTCTTAAGAATGTTGTATTTAACCATACTTATCCTGTAGGTAGAAAAAGAGTTTGAGATTGAGTGATAGTCAGAAAAAAAAAAAAACAGGGGATAGGAGGTTCTTCAGAAGGCTCAAACTTTTACATAATCAGACCTGTATTTTTTAATATCATTTCAGAGATCTTTTGGATAAATAGGTATATATTACAAATTAGTGATATTAGCTACAGTTTTTGTAAAACCTGGAGGAGGTTGCAGATTTGACCAACAGGCTTCTGAAATGAGGTCATCCCATTTATATCAGAGAACTATGTCACAGAAAAGAAGTTAGTTGATGCTTGTGGACTCTATAAAGATACAATACTGAGCACCACAGGGAACAAGAGGCTGTGGACATCAACTGCTCAAGGTGATTTTCACAGGTAGGATCACAAATTCTAAGTGTGATGGGAAGAACACTAATGCATCACATAGTGGAAATGGGGCAGTAGAGATTGGACTCAACCTGGGCTATGGGTTTTAAACTACAGAAAATTTTAAAAATGGAAAGTATTTTCAGATGAGATAGTTTTATCCATATGTAAATATTATTCCAAAATGGAAAAGGAAAGGATTTAGTTTCAAGCCAGAAGGCCCAAGTATGCTGCCTAAGTATGTCTATCATATAAATATACATATACAATAAACAAATATATGATTATTTTTACTATAATTACAGCTCTTCATTTCTTCTTAGCGTCAAATATTGATAGATGTTTGTTTCCTAAGATAGTCTGCTCTAAACATCCAGAAAAAGTTACAAAAGCATGCATTGAGGGCCTTAGACAACTCAAATTACCCTTTAAATGTGGCTGGAGTTTTCTGCAGCAGATGCAAAATTGAAACAAAGCCTCAGGGAAATGATTATAGACACAACTACAAGACTAACTGATAATCTTAGTCCTGGGAAATATTGAATATCTTCAGAAAGGTAATAATCTGTCTCCACCAGGCTAAAGAGAGGGTTGTACAGGGGCAAGGTCTGATGCAGGTGTTGAAACCAACATACCAGGAAAATATGCTTTGAGGAAAGGCACTCTAAAAAGAAACAGAGCTTTGTCCCCTCTGCAAAGATACAGATCATTGTAAGAGACAATGCCTTACCTTCAGAAGGAAGCATGCGCTTTAACACCTGTTTGACAGAGCAATTTGTGTTAGTGTCCTAGAAACATCTCAAGCAAACTTTTTGAGCAACTTTCTTTACCTTTCCTGGATTTGGACCCTCATCTAGGATCACTGGTTTAGAGGATGTGATTCAATTTTCTGATTTAGATAAACTCAATCTGTTCTGATTCTGATCCTTCTTGTAACATCCTCTTGAGTCTTTACTTCCTCAGGCCCAGGACCAAAGAGCTTCCCTGCAGAGCATATGCTACCTTTTTATGCTTCCAGTTTTTGAGACCTGCTTTTTTACCTACCAGAATTTGCTTTGTCTATTTTATGACTCTTGCTCATGTCTCAATTCTATCAAACAATAGTAGTGGAGACTGTCAGAGGAAGCACCTCAGGGCGCTTGATGTATCCAGCTCTCCAGATCATCACAGCTTCTTGTTTGTTACTGGTTGAGAAGAAGGGGCGGAACATCACGCAGTGTTTCAGTTCTTGGCGAGGACTACAGGCTGTCCCAACTCCCTGCGTTCAAATCAACCCTTCTCCTGGAATATGAAGGTGGAGCTCCTGGAGGGCAATGGGATGGTTGGCTTCATGCCCTGCCTCTCCCTCTTATTTGTTGAGTATTTGGACCATCATAGTAGGACCTTTCTACTCTTGAGGAGAGGCTCTTCTCTCATGTGCACGGAATACATACGGCCATCAAGTGTTGGCCCTTGCCTTCTACCCAGATTAAAAGAACATCTGCAGCTGTTCACCACTGCAAACACCCAGCTACCTTGTTCAAAAGCTTCTGGGGAGACTTTTATCTCTGCCTTCCATCTCACCATGGAAGCACTGGGGTCACATATGTTTGCTACCATTTCTGGCTTTATGTGGATTATTGGGATCCAAAGTCAGATCCTCACACCTGGATGGCAAGCACATTACACACCGAGGTCAAGCTCCTCCCCTTCTTTCCTTTTTTTTCTGTCACGGCATAGTAAGAACTCATAAATATCTCAACAGTGGTTCTTTAAAAGATGAATGTAAGAAATTTGGGGTACTTTACTGACTTTGAGGATAGATTTTGGAGTCAAGATGCAATAATACGCAGAGCAGCTTACAATAATTTTATTTAACAGATTGTCATGGATATTCCAGTCAATTTTAATTAAAAAATTGAGTTGGTTTTGAAAGACACATAAGAGGCTTCCATTAGTACACATACACATTACGATAACTATAATACAGGTCTCCTTTGATGGGCACCATTGCCTCGTCGTTAGGACAGATATTCTTGTCCTTAACAATTTCAACCACTACTGCAAAATTGAGAGTTTCTGGAAGAGATGAAGACAAAGAGATTTCGTCAGACACGTTAGGGTCCTCCTTTTTTCCTACTAGGACCAGGTAACTGACCCCTGGGATTCAATTTCCCCAAACTACTTGCAAACCAATACCCTATTTAATTTTCTCACCCCATGCTTTCTACAGCTTTAGAACCCAGGAATCGCCCTCATGGACTTCCTTTCCACCCACCACCTCGACTTTCTATTTTTCCATCAGAAAGTTCTACGGCCCTCTTTGTTTCTAATGTTCCTCTCTTGGCAGATAGTTCTTCCAACTTACTGTTAACTGGAAAGTCCCAGAACAGGTTTATTCGGTGATCATTACAGAGGCAGCGGGTTTGTTTATAGTTGAAGCTACCTTCCATTGGGACATTAGTTACAAGGGAAGCTTTGACCTGGTCAGGAGAGATGGCCCGTTGTTAGTCCACAAAATCGGAAGAAGAGAGCAATACAAGAGAGGAAGTAGCTGAGATCAACTAGCAGTACATGCACATTATATTCACCATCACAGGCTAGATTTGCTAGGCTCTCCCTCCTTATACCTTCAGACTCATGCCTGAGAAGTCTGAGCACAAGATTCAGGAGGATGTAAGTGAATCCATCAGGCAAGAAGATTTACTCCACTGTGGCTATCTCCTGGGGGGAAGGCTCGCTTTGGTACCAGCTAGGGTTCTAGGAAAGGACTTAAGTGCATTTTCCTTTGTGACCCAGTGGAATGGTAGCCCAACCGTTTAAATGTACATGCCAGGACAAGGCTTTGTGAGAATGATGGCCAAAGCCCATATGCAGCCCCGTTCTAACTCTGTAACAATTGAATTCATCTATTTCTCCCCTTTATTCCAACCTTAAATTTAGAAGTTATTGCCTCTGCCCATGTCTGGCCACAATTAGATAAGCAAATAATGTTTGGGGCCAGTTTCTTTGCTTTTTAAACCTGAGAATGCCTGTCAGCTTAAGACTTCAGACAACTGTAACATATCAACTCCTGTTTCTGGTGTCTAACATAGGAGTTTTGTCTTAAGGATCCGTCTACCCAGATGTACCTGTGAATAGAATTTGGTAAGTGTGAAAAATGACGGGGAAATGCCTTTAAATGAGATTTAGTATTTCTCCTGAAATTACAGTCATCAATGCAACATAGTAAATTAGGAGTATATGTGATTTTTTACTACAAGCAGAAAGAAGGCAAGTCATATTAATTTTCAGATTCAGTTGCCTGCACTCATTTCTTTTTTACCTTGATCATTATCAGAGTAGTGACACGCATGGGGCTGAGGACACCTGCTATATACTCATCTCTGGTGTTTGCTCAGATATCTGGCAGCTCTATGTTGAATAATGATAGTCCCCCAAACACTAATAATAGCATTGGGATGCTATTCAGTCTGAGAACCGTATTTAGAGAGTCCTGTTCTGGTGTTGAGAGAGCCCTTGTTTCCTTTTCATTATATTTTCCCAAGGTTTCTTCATGAGTTAGAATTTTTAAGAACTATGTGCAACAACAAATTAGGATCCAGTGACTGTGCTACATGTCACCTGTGGTATGATGTCAGCGGCCATCACAGAACTTCCTTCTTTAAGCTGAGCCAGTCACAACTATCACAGACAGTGCCTTCACAAAGCAAGTTTAACTTTGCCTGCATCTCATATGTGTTAGATTTGGGGGTACTTCATTAAAAAACACATAGACACATTGATTACTGTAGTAGGTAATTTTATCATTGTTATGTAAGACGGCAGGTTCTCATGTCATTAAGTTTACATTTTGCCCTTAGAAAGAGTTTTCTGATGACTAAATTATAGGTTTCCTGAGATCAGGAGACTTGTCTGTTGCACAAAGATGCCAAGGGGCTATAGTTCACCTCAAGTTCTCGTCAGCATTAAAGAATTTTTGGGTCATTACATTCTAGCGTATAATAGCAGGTATACGCTGTTCGCTTTTAATTCTAAAATAAATAAATGTGACCCCAAAGCTAAAAGTTGTTAAATATTCAGTGGCAAAACAATAGAATTACTATAAAAAGGAGGATTTACAATGTTCAGTCAAAAAAGAAATATATTCCGAAAAGGTTTAAAATATGAATATACTTTATAGTTATAGTTATATGTTGAGCTTCTCCTACACCCCACCTCAGAAAACTCTGAGAGATGGTTCCACAATAAGAGCATTTGCTGCTTTTGCAGAGGATCCAGGTACAGTTCACAGCACCCAAATGGCAGTTTACAGCCACCTGAAACCTCAGTTTTAGGGACTCCTACTTCCTCTTCCAGCCTCCACAGGTACCAGGCATACATATGGTACATAGGAAAATACTCATACACATAAAAAACATTTAAAAAATTATTTGTTGCAGGATGGAATGGCTATCATCTCTTATCTATAACCCCAACATTTGGAAATCTGATGCAGGAGGATCAGGAAAACAGTTTATGCTGAGCTCATAATGAGTTTAGCCAGAGCAAAATTATGAGGCTGCTTAAAACAAACCGGCAAAAATTCCTTTTACACAAATCGTGGGTGAAAAATTTACTGTTTATGGAGTTTTCACACCCTTTGCTTATTCTCTTTGGGCGTTTTTTTTTTTTAATAAGATCACTCTTTCTTAGTAGAAGCATGAATCTTAAAATCAGAAACGTATTCACTATAATATCACATGCCATTTTGTTGAGTTCAACACCATTATTGCACTAACTTTCTAAAGGTGCAAACAGGCTTTCATTGCTTATCATCACCAGAAACTGTCTTTGTCACAGAGATCTTTTTGTATACCTTGTATAAACATTTTCCCCAACCTCATCTGTAGTTATGACTAACAAAACACAAATTGCAAAACTCTGAATCAAGCTCCATTCTACACCCACATTAGCAAGCACAGTTCATGTTCTTGTCTTGTAAACGGGGAAAATAAAGGAGAAAGCAGTGGGATATGTTTGCACTATGTCCAAGAATCTTTCTTTTATCAAGATGAGGTTATTTTTAGATTATATTTTAATAAACAATCTTCTCCTAGTACTATTTTGTTTCTTATTTGATCACTATTCTTGTTATCTCACTTGAATTAAGAAAGTCATGCTGTAGGGAACTGTAGCAAAATGCTGTGTTCTGTCTTCAGATTGTTCAGCATGTAGAGCTGGGAACCCCCTTCTGTACACCCTGGGCATATGTTTGATTTGGAAGATGTGGCATCTCCCTAGATGGCAAGATTTTGCCTTGTAATGAGTGCTATTATAGTTTCAGAACTTGGAATGCTCTTTGAGAAACAACACACTAGAAAAAGAAGACGTGGCTCAGTATCTTGACAGGTCAGGCGGCAGTGGAAGGGCAAGAGGAAACCAGGCTCAGCTTGGGGGCTTCTGGAGAAGAAGAATCAGACCCTTTGTGTTCTCTTTACCCGTGTCCCAACCTGTGAGTTTGATTGCAGGATATTCTTATGAAAACCCTGTTCTCAAGTCCTTATCAAAGTCCAGTCATGCTTATGACCCTGGAGGAAACTCTACCAGTTTTCCATCTCTTTCTTTCTCATTCTTTTACTTCCTAGACCCCTCTGGACCAGGGTGTCTTAATCTGTAAAATGGGAATCATCATCTGCTAAAAGTTTTGCACCTTGTTTTGAGATTTGGGTGACAAAACATGTATGAAGATTTTTTTTATTAAGTTTATCATGCAGTATTAACACAAGAGGTAAAGTCAATCGTTCATAATTCAGGAGTCAGATTTTGACTTGGAGTCACTGTCCCAGGTATCTACTTACCACCGAACATTCGTTATATTGTGTTTCAAGTCCAAGTTTCACAGTGATCTCTTCATTTACCTCTGCATATTTCGGAACATCTAAATAAAATAAAATTGACTTTCCACCCTCTCTGGGAAGAGAAAAACAGGGCACAGAGATCAGAGACCTGCACCTGGAAAAAGCACCAAGCTGGAAGGAGGCATGGGGACAGAGCAAAGGAGGGAGTTAGATAGCTTAGACATAATGCTAAGCATCACAATCCCCAGGAACTTTTGCATGTTAGCTGGTTTGAATATTTATCTTTGTTTAATTAAGCAACAGACATATTGTTCAAAATGGAACATCTTTCTTTTTCCAGTTTCAAATAGCACATTTTAAAGTGGAAAACTACCTACTGTCTCGTGCTAATTCCTATCACCGACAGCAGTGCTTCTTAACCTGTAGGCCGTGACCCCTTTGGGGGGATGGAAGGCCCCTTTCACAGGAGTCACCCAAGACCATCAGACACCCCAGGTGTTTACATGATGATTCATAGCAGGAACAAAGTTACAGTTATGAAGTAGCAATGAAGATAGTTTTATGGTTAGGGGAGTCACCACCACATGAGGAATAGTAAGAAAGAGCTGCAGCATTGGAAAGGTTAAGAAGCACGGCCCTACAGTTTGAATGGAATGAACGAGTCCAGTCGTTCTTAGGAGAGAACTTCACACCCACAGAATCATGTAAACAGCTCTGCACCGGAGCAGTTCAGAGATCTCCCTTGAATATCTTCCTTGATGATTCCCAGAGAGGGCCAAGACTGTGTATCTATTTAGGTCTACAGGAAATCTGCACATATTGTAATTGGGAATACACCATAGCTGAGAAAAGGAACCTAAGATGAAGCAAAGGACTAAGTGTTCCTCTTTAGTCAACAAAGCCTTTTCGGGGCCAAGGGGATTGTATCTTCTTTATAAAGAAACTTGGCTAAGGTCCTTGGTGTTCTGTGGAGTAGAAAAGAATTCCTACACAGTATTATTCATAGTTCCATTTTCCTAGGGCAAAACATATTACATTTTCCTTCTTTTACAAAATGCTCTAGAACTCAGTTTTTGGGAAAGATACAAGAAGACCAGACATCTTAAAAATTTCCATTTTGTAAATGAGTTTAGGGTTGGCACGGTGACTAGATTAGCTACAGCAATTAGCCATGCCAGTTCTTTTCTGAGTCTAGGGATTCCATACAAGGTAGGTATTCGTTAATAAACACAGGAGAGTTACGGCCAGTGTGGGTGACCTAGACACTTTAAGTGTAAGGTTTATTTCAACATGGGCTTCCCTCTGGCCCAGGAGAAAACGCCATCCAAATTGGAATATGTGGACAAGACATTTGACCAAGTTTCCCAGAGCATCCAGAAAGCCAGCACCCTAGGCTGCTGCAAATGCAGATGTTTCTAGTTTAATTTGGTAACACTGCTTCCCTTCCCCACATGGCCTCTGGCTTAATTTCTTACTTCATTCTACTCTTTCAACTTCTCTGCTTTCTTCAAGCATGGATTCTCAGTATGGTAGCTTCCAGCTCCTAGTGTGAGTGTTACTAAAGATCCTAGTGTTTATCTCTTGGTTTTATCTTAGGAAAAGTACCTATGATACCTGTTTGGCTAGTTCATCCTGAGACCATGGGTCCGTGACAAAGCTCTTCTTCTCAGTGACCCCTGCCAAAGACATCTGAAGCTGGTGCGAGAATGTGCAGACTTCTTACCTTTGCCAGGTAAACTGGGTAAAAATCCCAACAGTGAATCAGAGAGACTGAGGCTAATTGCTGACGGCAAACTACGTACAGTAGAGGTTTTGTTTCCCAGGCAAGCCCATACAACCAGAGGAAATGTGAAGGGAATGGATGGAGCCTACTAAGTGGATGGAACCAGCCCTGAGGTCTATGTGAGCTTCCAAGGCTAGAGATCTCTGCAGTCTCAAAATCTACAGAAGTACAGGTTTCCAGATCAGGAGTGGAATTCTCTCCATGGCTTTTCTGCAGAAAAAAGAAGGATTTGACTCACATGTCATTCTGAGCCTTGTTGATCCCCAGCTGCAGGCCCAGGACCAAGAGGGTGGCGGCTTTGAACATGAATGAGAAACCGTGCATGGTGGAGGAAACAGGACACCAGAACAGTAGGGCCACTGGAGCTCAGCACAAGTTTATATTCAGATTGAGGAAGCAGAAAAGCTGGCATTCTCTGTATTCATGATCCTTCCTTGTTGAGGAGGTTTGGTTTTTTCCATGGAATAAATATTATTAATTAAATTGTTAGAATATCTGTGATTGAACTTCCTTATTTTCTCAGTGTCAGAGATCTTCAAAGGCCTGTTCTTGGCTTACAGACATGTTTTTCTTCTGTCTCATTGAATTCTCTGTTCTGTTCCTTAAGTCACTGCTGGTTCGATCTTCACAGTCAGCAGACGTAGTGTGTGGTAGGTTCCAAGCAACAGCTATACAGCACGTTCACTTGATGATTCAAAAGGAGATGCCACTAAGAAGGTGTCTTAGAGTTCTGAAATGATCAGACACAGTTATCCAGAAACCACTACCAATGATAGAGCTGAGAGAACTGAGGAAAGGCTGAGCTCTCGGGATGTTGTAGAAGTGTAACCATAGTTCCCAATGATATTGTGATGTTTGGGATTGTTAAACCCTTCTGTACTTCAAGAGGGATAGTAAGTCTTCCAGATACTCAAAATATCTAGGAGAGAATGATGCTTTCATTATATAAAAGTCATTTACATAGTTGCATCGCCAAATCCAACCGTTCAGCCTTAAAATCCCCAGTCATGGTTCCCACACTTGTTTTATGGTAGAAGGCATGTAGGAAGATAACGATAAGGGCTTCCTCCACTGCAACAGAACCCAAACTATATCACGGAGACATCCTGACACATGCATTTCTCCCCCATGGAGTGGCAGGAGACTCCCTATTCCTTACATATCCCCACTGTCTTTATTGACCCAAAGATGTCATTTAACCTAAAATTTATTGTTATTTATTGAGCCGGGTGGTGGTGGCACACGCCTTTAATCCCAGCACTTGGAAGGCAGAGAGAGGCAGATCTCTGTGAGTTCTAGGCCAGCCTGATCTACAGGAGCTAATGCCAGGACAGGCTCCAAAGCTACAGAGAAACCCTGCCTCGAAAAACTAAAAAAAAAAAAAAAATCTCTTGAATGACAAAAGGCCAGGATGATCCTCTGGGGTCTGAATATGAAAGTCTTCTGTCTAAGACTTACCTATGTATTCTGCTTTAGTGAGTGTGGAGAAATTAAAGTCTAGCTGTTTGTACACAGTGGATGAAGTTTTAAAAATTTTCCCCTGATTATTTATTCTTGTGCTAATCTCTTCATCTTCTTAAGCTGGGCACCAATAATTCTTCACTCTGTAGTTTCAGCCAAACACTTGCTTCTCTGTCTCAAGAGTGACATTTTCTCATTATCCATGGCCCTAGTCTCAGTGACCCTCCTTCATGAACACTTTTCCATGTTTTAACTCTCTTTTCACCAAATCCTTTTCTTGTTTACTTGAGTAATATCTCCCAGAGGATCATCATAGCTGATATTATCCAAGGAATGGTCCAGACCAGATCCACATGGGAAATACAGATATAGCTCTTTGCTGGATCATAACCCCCTTCAAAGGTACATCTCTGTTCTTTAATGTGTATAGGGGGCAGTTTTGATAAACTAGGGATCAGAAAAGATAGATGGAAATGAATTCAGAGCATTTATAGAGAGTAAAGAGATCGTTCCAGAAAACCAACAGAGATGTATACAATTCATAACCCTACAAAATATGTAACAAAAGTAATGGCTATATTAACATTGGTTGGTGTGATTATTTTATGAGTCAATTCGACTAAGAATCGTACCCAATATTATAGATTTTTCTTTGAAGACATTAAAAAACAAATAAACAATGTGATTAACATTTAAACCATCCAGGTTTTGGTAGAGTACCTTCTATAATGTAGGTACACCTCATCTTGTTGACTCAAAGCCTTATGAAAAAAGCCTGGGTCTCTCTGAGAAAAACAGATTGTTTGCAGATTGTCTTCAACTTGTAGCTCTGTACTGGTAAGTGACAAGTCACTTATTTATTTAAGATTTCTGCCTCCCTCCTCCCCCAATCAAGTCCTCCTCCCTCATCAGCCCGAAGAGCAATCAGGGTTCCCTGCCCTGTGGGAAGTCCCAGGACCACCCACCTCCATCCAGGTCTAGTAAGGTGAGCATCCAAACTGCCTAGGCTCCCACAAAGCCAGTACGTGTAGTAGGATTAAAAACCCAGTACCATTGTTCTTGAGTTCTCAGTAGTCCTGGATATTAACCTTCATCAGGCGATGAAAGGAGACAGAGACAGAGTCCCACATTGGAGCACCGGACTGAAATCCCAAGGTCCAAATCAGGAGCAGAAGGAGAGAGAGCACGAGCAAGGAACTCAGGACCGCGAGGGGTGCACCCACACAATGAGACAATGGGGATGTTCTATCGGGAACTCACCAAGGCCAGCTGACTTGGGTCTGAAAAAGCATGGAATAAAACTGGACTCGCTGAACATAGCGGATAATGAGGACTACCGAGAACTCAAGAACAGTGACAAGTCACTTTGGAGTTTTGTTGCCCTCTGCAACGAGTAATGCTGATTTATCAATTTGGTAGGATCAAGAATCACTTAGGACACAAACCTCTCCAAATGTTGAAAGGGAGTTTCTAGGTTGGGGTAATTGAGGTGAGTGTGTCCACCCTGAAAGCAGGCTATACTGTGCCATGGTCTGGAGCCCAAGGCTGAATAAAAATTAAGAAGTGAGCTGAGCACCAGACTTCATCTCGGATCTTTAATGTAGGTGCCATGATAGCTGCCCGACACTCCAATCACCGTGCCTTCTCACTGTGCCCTCAAGCTGTGAGCCAAAACAAACCTTTCCTTGTGTAAGTTAATTTTGATTTTACCAAGGATTTTGCCATGAGGACAAGAAAAGAAAAGAAAAGAAAAGAAAGCACCTTCTGTTATCTTCCATTCTCCCTTCCTCTTCTGAATAGGATTCTAATGCCCAGAGTGACCTTAGAAATAGGACTAGCAAAAAGCGCTTCTAGGAGCTGAGGTGCCTTTTAAGAGGTTTTTATGGGAGCTGCAAATGAACTTCTATTGTATTAAACCACTACTACTTTAGGATTAATCGAAGAAGGCAGCTAGAATATTGTGTGTGCACATGAACACGCACCATGCACGCACGCGCGCGTGCACACACACACACACACACACACACATACACACACAGAGTCATATTCATGTTTCTCTCAGACAGCTTCTGTTCCACATTGCAACACTTCAAAAGTCACCTCCTGTGCTACACACCTCACTGCATCCTTGGTGTGAATTAAACGCCCCTGTGTAAGTCCTGTAACCTTTACAGTCTCACTAGTTAAGAGGAAATAGAGGCATGGGAGTAAGTGCCAAGTCTGGATTCACTTCTACACAGGTTTCAATAGAACTTTTGTTACTTTTTGGCTGGATGATATGAACAAGTTATTAAAATCTGTGTGAGTTTCCTTTCCTGAACTTTATATATCTATGTATTTGTTTTTGAGACAGGGTTTCCCGGAGCATAGCCTGGCCTTGAGCTCACTACATAGCTAAGGATGACCTTGAAATCCTTATTCTCCCACCTCCACCTCTCAAATCCTGGGGTTACAAGCAGGCATCAGAAAACCCAATTATCCTTTCTCAACTTACTTATTATTACAAAGGCTGATGAGACAGCTCAACAGGTAAAGGGCTTTAGTACCAACCCTGAGAACCCGAGTTCTATCCCCAGGACCCATAGGACGGAAGGAGAGGACAGACTCTTACTTACATGCTGTCCTCTAAACATCATGGACACATTATGGCACATGTGCACAGGCACAGACAGAGAGAAAGAGACGGGGGAGAGATGGGGGGGGAGAGGGAGGGAGAGAGGGAGTGAAAATAAATAGATGTGATAAAGTTATACGTGTATGTATGTATATTGCTTTCATCAAGAACAGGATAGGCAAATGCTATAAGTGCATGGACTCTGGTATGATCCTAGTGATTTTGAATCCCAGTTTTTCCATAACAAACACTGGAGCTCGTTCTCGTAAACAGGTAATGCAATGAGTCAACACTCCAGTGTAGAACCAGACTTCCTGAGTTCAACATCAGACGCCATTCGCAATGTGTGTTTACTCTGAGTTAATGTGGAACTTGAAGGATCCTTACTTGCTGGAACCTCTTTTAACATCCTCTGTATTTCATATTTGTCAGTTTGTGTTCTGCCTCTGAAAGAAGTTGCTTAATATTGTAAATCAAAACATTTAGATTGCACAAAACCTGACCCCAAATTTGACTCCTTTGGATACTCTTATAAGTTGTGTCTGGAATTTGCTTTTCTTAGCTTCAGTTGGTCCATTTATAAAACATGATTAAAAATAGAAACCTACTATGTAATATTGCTACTAGGATACAGTGAGGGAATTCATAGAGAATGTTAAGAACATTTTCATACATGTGCCCTATCCTCATGTATGTTGCTTCTGTGATTCCCTTTGGGAGCCACTCTTTATCCGGTTCTTCACAGCTCTATTGAATTTAATGTTACCCTTTTCTTTGTACAGACTTCACCTTAGTCCTTCATCCCTTCCCTTTGTGTCAGTATGTATGTCCCATAGAAGTTTCCTGAATCATTTACAGTTTGGTTTTTATCTGTTAGATCTACTTAGTCTCTTCTAACTATTGGGTTGTTCACAGCTTACAGCATGACAAGTTTGGTTTACACTTGCCTACTAAGAACTATCTGCTAGACAGGGTTTCTCAACAATAGTATTGGCAAGAGGATGACATTACCATGAACTTTTATCACAAATTATATTCTGAAAACATTGTTACATATCATCTACAGAGCACACGCTTAGCATGTATGTGCATGTGTGTGTGATATAAAGTTATAAAAAAAGAAAACAAAGGGAGGATTGTTTGTAGGGAGGAAAAAGACCCACTGGAAGGGAGAAGGGACCAAGAGAAAGGGTGATAGGCAGTGCATATGAACAACATGCAGTGACACACATGGATCTTAAGTGTCATACTCAAACTCAT